GCTCGTATCTGGCTCGTCTCACTCCTTCGCTCCCTCCCTCTCTCTCTCTCTCTCTCTCTCTCCATCACAGCCCATCATCGGTGCTACATTCTCACCCATTTACGGGAAAAAGCGCGAACCGACGGGCAACCAGCAGGTGTCCTACGGGAAATAAGGCAGCCATGTGACAAAGACGAACCCAACAAGGTGAAGACGAGAACACAGGGCCAAAAACCAGGAGAAGGAGGGCAAGTGCGGGGGAGGGAAAAGGCGGGCGAGAAAACAGCACAACATCACTGTGCCTGTAGGTAAAAACAGACCCCACTGGCACACATACACGCAGCAGGTCCGTGAGTGTACCCAAATCCCCAAACCACCTCTCCCACCACACACACACACGTAGTGCTGTGCAGCATACCTGTAGGTGAAAACAGACCCCTTTCTGAAAAGAAAGACTGATCGACTGTTAGCTTGCCCCCCAGAGAAAAGACGCCCACAAGCACGCACCCCCACGCACACCGCGCCCCTCATCGCTCCCTCCCTCACACGTGAAATACCCTTCCTATACGGAAATAACATATCAAAAGGCAGTCAAGCGTTTAAGTACTGCCGTCTTGAATCGATTGGGCTTCAGAGAAGCAAGGCCGCGTGTCTGTGTCTGTGTCTGTGTGCGCGTGTGTGTGGAAGAGGCGATCGATCTCCCGCCCTCAGCGAGTGACCCAGGCGGCGATGACAGTGATGTCATCGAGCTTGCCCCCCATGTAGTAGGTGTCGTTCTGCCGGGCGCTCTTGGCGAAGGGCGAGCGGGACAGCGGGTCCTTGCTGCAGCAACAAAGAAGTAGAAACATACTGATGGATGGATGGATGGATGGGCTTGCTTTGTATGTGTGTGTGTGTGTACCTCTTGTGCCGCGCTGCCTCTGCAATGGCGATGGCGACGTCGCGGGCAGGGGTGACAAGGGACTTCTCGTGGAGCACCTGTACACACACAGACGCACACACACACGTGCCTCTCTCCCTCTCTCTCTCTCTCTCTCACTCTCTCACTCTCTCTGTGTATGTGTGTGTGTGTCTGTGGGCCTTTGCCTACCAGGGACTCGTATGGTGAGAGGGCCAGGTTGGCGATGTTGCAGATCTCATAGTCGAATAGGTTGTCGAACACGCCTGCACACACCGGGGCGCACGCATCAACTTGACCGAATGCATGTGTGCGGCTGGGCTGTGTGCATGTCACAGTGTGTGAGTGTACCATCTGTGCCCAGGATGAGAAGATCCCCTTCGCGGACGCTGACCGAGTAGAGCTGCGCCATCTCCGGCGTGTCCTGCGCGCGCACACAGAGAGAGAGGGAGAGGGAGAGGGAGAGGGAAGATGGCTTGGTGTGGTGACGTGATATCCGCGCATCCACACATACCTCAGTGATCGCGCCGTCGCTTCTCTGCCTGGCGTCCTTGCACACGTTGACCAGCCTCTCCTGGCATACACATACAGTTCACGAACGCTTCCATCCATCCATCCGTCCATGTGTGTGCCCTCTCTCTCTCTGTGTGTGAGAGAGCGCACCTTGCCCTCCCTCTCGAGCTCGTTGTACCGGCTCTCGTCAGGGAGTCGAGACAGCTGCACACACACACGCATCCATCCATCCGTCCATCCAGGTAGGTAGGCAGACAGAGAGACAGACAGACAGCCACACACCTGGTATGGGCAATTCCAGGAGTGCTGCTGCTCCTTGGTCCGCTACACAACCGTCATGCTGTAGACCTTCTGCCGTCTGCACGCACCCACACACACACACAGACACAC